GAGGAAAATATCTACTTCCTACCCCTTTGCTTGCATGTAAACATCTGGTGTTGCAAAGTCTGGAATGGTGAATAGGGAAGGAAGGAGACTAAAGATGCCTTGGAAGTTCAGTGCAATTCAGCTGCTTGGACTCCTTGCTTCAAGCTTTTAAGCTATAAGAAAGGAGGAGGCAGGAGGGTAATAACTCCATGTTTTTTCTGCAAAGTAGAAAGATTTTAAGATCACCTTTGAAAATTTGGAGGGAGTGCTCCTTTAACGTGTTTGGAGGGGAAAGAGTTTCTAAGCAGAATCTTCTTGAAACCGATTTTATTATTTTTAATGATGTTGGATAAAAAAGCAATTTTAAAATAAGATTTGACAGGAGTTAATAGAGAGCTAATAGGTTCTTTTAGGTTTTTCTTATCTGCTCCCCCCTTTTTTTAGAAAAGCAAAGATGTGTAACTCAGAACAGTGTTTCTCAATCTTAGCAACTTTAAGATGTGTGGATTTTGACTCCCAGAGTTCCCTAGCCAGCATGCTGCCTGGGGAATTCTGGGAGTTGAAGTCCACACATCTTAAAGTAGCTGAGGTTGAGAAACACTGACTTAGATGTATCTGGATGTGTCTGATTTATATTCCAATATGCCAGAAAAATCAGCACGTTTATGAGTTGGAAACATCAAAAGCTGGTGTGGGAAATCTTTGGCCCTCCAGATATTGCCGACCTAACTTCTACCTACCATAACATTGGTAACATTGGCCAGTCTGCCTAACCACTTGCTGGGGTTTTTTTTGTTCTTCATATCTACAAAAACGTAATGCTTTTTGCTTTCAGTCAAGAATTAATAATATTTATGGTGTTGTCATTGACTGGGTATCAAGTTTTGAAATTAGGAAGTGATTTTTGGAGAAGGAATTACACCCCAAATGGCTGACTCACATTCCAGCTGTGAAGCCTTTCTTCTATTCTGGCTAGTATTATTATTTTGCGTAGTATATCTACTAAGATAATTTCTAAGCATTATGCTTTTTTATCCATTACTTTGAGCCCAATCTTTGACAGCCTTAGATGTTTATTTTTTTCTTTTCATGTTTTAAGAGTTAAAGACCTGAACATAAATCTCTCTGTTACATTAATAGAAAAGGATTCAGGTTATGTGGTGTAAGAATCAATACTTGGCCAGCTGAGAGTCTAAACTTGCTGAATGGAGTTCTCCAGAAATATAATTTTGGCCTTCAGATATTTTAGCACAATTTTGCTGAGATTGCTAATATAAGTGGTACAAACCAGCACTATTGTCTTATTGTGTGCATTGTCAAGACCCATTAGAACGTATTTTTATCATGTGGGTAGGCTTCCGGTGGATACTGATGTAATATTTGTACATAGAGTTTTTGTTTTCATTGCTGCAATTTTTTAACATATAATTGGTAGCATTCGATTTCAAAGAGACCCAGTGAAAAGAATATGTTTCTTATAAACATTTGTACTTTTTCTATTAATTCTTCCTTTTTAAAAACATATATCTCTTGTACAGTCATAGCAGATTCTCTGTATGGGGATTTTTATGTATTCAAACAGTTCCAACCCCACTCAAGAGAGAATGTATTGGGAAACTTGTAGGAACAGGGACCCCAACATTTTCAGATATGTAGAAAGTTTTTACTAAAGATACCTTGAGAGTGCTGCTCCTGTTCCCAAATAAATACTTATTCCTTGAGGACCAAGACAATTTATTATGCCTAGAGCGGTATATGTGTGCATTTTATATATTGATTGAAAATAATTCTTGCTGTGCATTGTTGTTTAGAAGTCATCATATTAAGAAAATAATTGTTCCTTTTAGTATGCAACAACAAATCAGACATGTTTCTATTTCTTGATAATGCTTAAGAACTGCAGCCATTGCCTAATAAATTGGTACATTTCAGCCTGCTGCAGACTTCAGCTGTAGATTTTTTTCATAAACCTTTTGAATGCAGTAGAGAAGAAGGCTAAGTAGACCATAGGTTTTTAAGGTAGATAATCCCAGTTTCAACCCTTGGCAGCCACTGAGAGTTAGTTTGATTGCAGCAAGATAGAAATGCGAATGGATGAGATAGCAGGGTAGAAAAGAACTTACTGTATCAGAGACTTGGGTGGACAAATTATAAGGTAAAATTGCAGTACCAAACAACCATCTGCTTCTATTTTCTGGGGATTACCACTGAAGTGATTTCTGCCACTGATTGTATAGTACTGCAAAGATATTTATCAGTACCGTGATTCCAAGGGAAAAAGTACTTTAAGAAATAGCCCAAGTTTTCAAAAAGCCTGAAATGACATCTACTAGCTGTGTTCTTGAAGCTGATTAAAATGAAATAATTCTAATTATCTTACAATTAGAGTGGGAGGGGAGTGAGACACTAATGGCATGGTAAATTCAACCTGACTGTCCCAGTAGAAAAAAAATAAAACTGATAAAAGTGTAATGGGCAGAGCATTAAAAAAAATAACCCAAATTATTTGGAACATCGTCCCTCCTAAGATTAGATTGGCCTCAACCGTACTGGCCTTTCAGAAGACCCTGAAGACATGGCTTTGCCATTAGGCCTAAAGATCCTGTAGAGGTAGGGAGCCTGCAAGATGGTTGTATTGTTCATAAGCTGCTGGTTGGCACTGTTCCTCGTTTTGTTTTTAGTTAATTTATTTTAACTTTTTAAATTTAAATTTTTAATGGTTTTGGTTGTTTGTTTATATGAACTTTGTTTTTTTGTTACTTTAGCTTTGTGAGCCACCCAGAGGCATGCATATGAGATGGGTGGCTATATTAATTGAATAAATAAATCCACTCCTCTCCACAAGATGTCACTATAACCTTACAGGAGGTAAGAGTTGTGTCAAAACCACATCCCCCTTCCAAAAGCCTGTTCCTAAACAAAATATCTCAGATATCATTGTATTCTAGTTGGCATAATTTAGTGAACTCTCATCCTGTAAAAATACAGCGCTATAGCTCCCTTCTCAGCAGAGCCGTGTTGGCTGAGAAGAACAGAAGTTTAATGTATTGTCGAAGGCTTTCACGGCCGGCATACGATGGCTGGTGTGGGTCTTCCGGGCTGTGTGGCCGTGTTCTTGAAGTTTTGTTTCCTAACGTTTCGCCAACACCTGTGACCGGC